AAGTTAAAAAGTCGTAAGTATTTACGCTGTCGATTTTGGTAAAATCTTGCGATTTCGAATTGTCCAAAAGTTCTTTGGAATTTTTGAGTATCTACATCTGATTTACACCACTTCTTGAATATATTGTTGCACAGGACCCTTCAAGTTTTTCTTTCACTACTGTTAATATCTTAGTGAGGAGTAACGAAAGAGGCTTGGTTGAACATTTACTGGAACCCGCAATGTATCTTTGTAAGGATTTTTTTTTTAAAGTTTCGGAATCCAATATATATAAGGTAGTTCAAATTCATTTTGGCTCTGTGGAATATTAAAAATATTTAAAACTGACATATGATTTTGAAGAATTTCTTCCTTAGAAAGGGAAGTATGATAACTCAGTGCACGTGATCAAATTGTGAACTGAGAAGCATTATCATGTTTATTTTCATTTGTTTGAAGTTATCGCCCTTAAAATTTTAAATTACAATCAGTTTTTTTCAAAAATAAACAATTCTGCCGAAATCTATTTTCAATAAAAAGATCAAGCATAAACATTTTTTAATGTTTTTCATAAAAACGTTAACAGTTTTCTTTTTATTATGGAATAAGTACTAGTATTTTTCAATCATTTTTAAAAAAAAAAAAATAACTTTAGAAACTTCTAAGCATTGTGCATATATAATTTATTTCACAAGGCCAGAAAGTAACTGAGTCAGATAGAAAAGAAACAAATAAAGAGAGAGGGAAGGAGAGGGGAGATAGTAGAGAGATGGATTAGTTATAGGAAAGAGAGATCGAGCGGGTGAAGAAAATTAGAGATTGTGCATTGGTGATCAGAGGGAAGCAGTGGATCTTGAAAGAGAAGTAGTGGATCTCACAGGCACCTGATGTTACTTATTTTTCTTTTTAAAAAAATATATACCCATGCCTTAAATGTTTATTATTAGGTATGGGTATATTTTTTTTCTTAAAAGAAAAATAAGTAACGTCAGGTGCCTGTGGTGGATCTTGATAGAGAGAGGGGGAGTGAGTATATTTTATGTTCAAATCACAGTCACCTGACTTACTTATTTTTCTTTTAATAAAACAAATATACCCATACCTAATAATAAACTATATAGGTATGAGTATATTATTTTTGTTTATTATAAGGTATGGGTATATTTTTTTTATTAAAAAAAAGAAAAATAAGTAACGTCAGGTGCCTGTGGTTCATATAGAGGGTAATATATCGGGGTCAACTGGAAAGAGGGAGGGAGAGAAAGATAATGCAGGTGTGAGAGATAGAAGTTCGGAGAAAGGGGGTGTGGGGAGAGTTAGGAAGAGGAGACAGCGTGATTGAGGATCGAGATAGGGGGAGGTGAGAAAAGTGGCACAAAAGTAGAGTAGTGGGGAGAGGAGGTTTGGGGGAGAAACCTATCATTTCTTCTTCTTTTTTTATTAAAAGTTAAAGCGAATTTGAAATAATGTTCAAATTTCTGATAGTAGTCGGGAAAGTTCGGTTAGCCCGAGAGTTTTTTTTGGCCTTTTGGGCGGCTGCACTGGACTTGCGATAGGCTGCTGAACTGGACTTGCGATTCTCACCAAGTTATCAAAATTTGTGAGTCCTAGTTTATTTACTTTTATTGGTACTGCCCAGGGAGTGTCTGGTCTCTTGGCCTTGTAATTCGTCTGACGGCTCTGGTCCACGTCTTGTCTCTGGTCTTTGTTTCGTCTTTGGTCCTCGTTTCGTCTCTGGTCCCAAACACCAGTTGGATCGCTGGCTAATCCTTTACTGGGGGCGACGTAGAGAAATTAAGGTTATCGTGTGGAATTATCCCAGAGGCGTTGTTAATCCTTTGGTTCCAGTCTTGAGGGAAGTTATTAAAGGAATTAATTGTCGCTATGTAATTGCGGCGGTGATATGTCACCAATGTCGGGAATATAAAAATCGTCTTCTAAATATAAATCAGTCTCCAAATCCCGGAGATCCCGATCTTCCCCTTTGAGTGCAGACACGTCGGGATGTGTTTTAGAGATCGATCCAGGAGAAATTAGACTAGGATGATACGTATCCGGATTAAACAGTATTTGCCTGTCGTCTAAATCCAGCTGCACAAATTTCTTCCAGGGAAACAACGGCACTCGCGAAACTGCCCGCCTCAAACGCTGCAATGGTGTTTCAGTCTTTGGTGCTGGCAAATTTTCCATAAATTTGTAGAAGAAAATCGGATTCTCTACCACTTATTATAACCAGGTCAACCTCATCCTGGACTCCGGCCTATATGAAGCTTTTTTCCTAAACCTCAACCATCAAAGTTTGAGGAGGCAGAGTCCCGAAGGACGTTGGGCCGATTATAAGTTTGTTCATTTACACCCGGGATCTTGGCTATTGCAGTGAGAGGAGACGCCAAGTTAAATAACTCAAATAATCCTTGAGCTGGGTCGGACAGACTCAATTCAGTTTTTTTTTTTTTGTATTTTATTTTATCTTCAATATCCCGTTCCTTTTGACCAGAGGACCTTTTCTGCCCAGAGCGGCTCACGGGCTCTAATTCTCAACCTGTATAAAATGAAACGGAGACAGACACAATCCAGCTCTTGTCTTTTATTAAATAAAAAAAATCTGATTACATGAAATAAACAAGCTAATTCAGAGAATTCGTGTCCCCCGCTTAGGGAAAAAGTCGGCTCCCCCTGACTGAATTTGTAGAATGATTAAATGTATACATGAAGCAAATAAAATACATGTATGTCAATATGCATATAAAGATTTGATTGCTTATTCTTTATTATGTGTATAGAAGATTTTTTTATATGGAATGTTTATCACACTGTAATGATGATTTTATAACCTCATAATTTTTTTCATTTCACATGCTGAATAATATCATTTAGTAAAAAAACAAAAGTATTTAAAAAAAAAAAAAAGGATTGATCGAGATTCGATCCCACGACCTTTCACATTTGAAGCGAAAGACATAACCACTAGACCACGGAATCGCTCTATACGGTATGAAGTATATGCAGAATGAAGTCACATACATGTATATATTCATGTTTTCATGTTCGGTAGTCTCAAAATTTTACACAATCCATGGTGTTTGATTTATTTAGCCTTTATTAAACAGTTCTAATAGATGTAATAAGAACAGAAAGTCCGCCGAGAATCTGTTTTATACGCAATAACTCTCCTCATGCCCCTGTGCTAAAAATAGCGACATGTAATACTATAAATACTAATGAAACAAACGGGGCGGGGCACTTTGAGAGGGGCGAGAGACGTCCTAGGGAGTTTTGGTATAAAATTACATTGCATAAGCTCAAAATCTTCTTGAAATATCGCCCGGAAATGATAGTATTACACACAGACAGAATGTATAAATTTACGACCTTGAACTTTGACCTTTTGACCTCAAAATCAATAGGGGTCTTCATTAGGCCACAGGGAGTTGTTATATAAAATTTCATTGCAATAGCTCAAATGGTTTTAGAGATATCGTGTGGAAACGAAAGTGTTTTAACAGACAGAATTTTCTTATTTATGACCTTGACCTTTGACCTTTTGACCTCAAAATCAATAGGGGTCTTCTTTAGTCCATAGGGAGTTGCTATGCTAAATTTCATTGCAAAAGCTCAAAGGGTTCTCGAGATATCGTGTGGAAACGAAAGCGTTACAGACAGACAGAAAGTCGGACGGACGGACGGACGGACGGACAAACCCAAATTAATATCCCCCACTTTTCAAGCGGGGGACAATAATTTTACACACAATACTAAACCTTATAATAAAGATTACTGTGTTACAATAAAAACTATCTAAATATGTAAATAAACTAAAGTAGATAAACGAAACCATCTGAAAACTTAATAATTTTACAAAAAACGTGCAAGTCTACAAAATAATCTTACCTGTATAAAATGAAACGGAGACAGACACAATCCAGCTCTTGTCTGGCGTATGTCCGTCGTCCGGTCATTTTATACCCAGATTAACTTCCAGGTTCAAAGCTCAATTCCCAGTAGTCAGCGTCTTTAATTAATCCTAACCAAATCCATCTTTTCACCAACACATGAATAACTATCTTCCCAATGATTTACTCCTTGGAATTTTCCGAGTGAAAAGTTAAACTTATAGTGGTCAGCATTTTTAATTACTTTTAACCAAATACATCTTCATAAACAAGAACGAAACAGTTGCATTCCCATGATATCTTTCGTGGGACCGTCCGGGATAAAAGTTTTATTTATATTGGTAAGCATCTTTAATTACTTCCAGCCAAATACATGTACATCTTTAGATACACAAGTAAATTTTATTGATTCTACTGATTTATTTTTAACTTCAGATCTCGCATCTGCTATCTCTTTAATCCGAATAGTGCAAACTCATAAAATCTGTTTCATTTTTATATTTACTGCAATTTTTGTTATGATAAGTGTATCAAAATTTAAGGTCAAGGTTACGAGGTAAAAAATTATTGTATATTTGAAAATACCTTGCCACAGGTATTGTACATGGGGAATATGAAAGCCCTATCTCTTTTCATTCAAAATTAGCAGTTTATCACGATGTTTAAGTTTTTGTGCCAGACGGACAAGATGACAAACTGTTCCATGAGACGGACAGACGTATGAGATTTAATCCATTAACCAAATGTAAAAAGCAATGAAAAAAGGGGACCTCCCCCTTGCACCCTTCTTAATGCCTGTCACTCCTGATACATGTAATACGAGTCTGGCTTATAAAAATCGGGTTGTAAGAAAAAAAAGTTGCTTTTTATACGCAACGTGTACATGTATATATATATGGCCCTCTCCAATAAAAATGTAAGCAAAAATATTTGTAATATTGATTTTCTAAAATTGATATTGTTAATAACTATTTACACATGTACATATAATTGAAAAGTATTTGTACTTCTCAGGAATATAGTTATAAATTCTATGTTATTATTAACACATTTTACTGTACAAGTATGTGACACCTGACCTAGAGCTTATTATAAATAAAATCGGGCTCGGGATAACAAAATTTAAGCAACTATAAACAAAACGTGATGCGAAGAAGGTGGGCGTTTCTGTCTTAAAATAAAATGCCTTCGGCAACAGTAACAGTCAGGTATTTAATAGTTATAACTATGTTAATTGATGCACTGTATTTTAACATCTTCTTCTTTCACAGAATCAATTAATAAATTATTAAATACATATATCAAAACTCTCCAGGATCAAGTTTGAGTAGCTCTACTTTTGGTTTATAATACCTGTATACTTTTATATGTAGGGAGTTAAAGAACAAAGAGACTGGCATTGACATAACGATTCCCCGCATCACCCAAGAAAAGGGGCTTCTACAGTCAACATATGAATATCAGGTCGTAGTGGTGTCTAATCTACCGTTCTTCAAAAGTCCAAAACACAAAGAGAACGACGTTGTTCAATTCATGGTAAAATGATTATATCTTATCAGAGGAACTCCGGGGTGATCATTATACATGTAACTATTATTGTTTAAAGCAGATCTTATTTTAAACATGCAGAAAAGGCAGGTTCACCCATTTTAGTTTGAAAAATATATTTGCTCTGAATTAAGTACATGTCATGTATAATTAGAACTTGCTACCTAGGCATCAAATTAACATTAAATTCATAGACGTGTAGAACATGTGACTTTCTCTTGTAACTGAAGTTAATAATAACTTAATTTTAAAGGTAAAGAAGAAGTTTGCAGAGTTTGAGGACTTATGGTCCAAGTTATATGAGAAGTACCCAGCTACAGTGCTTCCCCCTTTACCAAAGAAAGCCCTCCTGGTGAATGATAAGGTGGCAACAGATAGGAGAGCAGGCTTAGAGAGATTTCTTAGTTTCCTTGCTGTTACCCCTAAAGTCTGCACTTCTTCTCTATTACTGGAATTCCTAGGTATATATTTTACTAACAACTAGGAAATAAGTCACTTTGAACAGTCTATCCAAAAAGCACCATTCTGTTGGACAAAACAGGTGAAAATCTAATTAATCTGATGCACTAACTGGTAAAATCTGTCCCTTTGTCCAAGGTTTGTTTTTTTTTTCATAATTTTTTCAAACATACTTCTGCCACATTTGTTCTAATATTTCAGTTTCAGGGAAGAAAAAAGAAACAACTTTGTTGATTGTTTAATGTGTTATTTGTTAATTGATTATCATGATATAAAGAAACATGGTTATGATCATTATGTGATAAAAGTTTATGGAGAGAACAATCATAGGCATTTATGCCTGCTGTTCAATCCTTTTCTTAATGAATAAAATATATTTTAAACTAATAAAGTTTTTGGACAGGTGAAAATTCATTACGTCCTGTGGTATTTTTAATTTGCATGTGTATCCCAATGTCTATTAACGATAATTTTTCTTTTTTGGGGAGACTGCTTTGAAGAAGAATTTTCATCAAGATTTGATTTAGTAGGGTACATTACAAAAGTGGAGGGTTGTCGGGGGTTCCCAAATGGGAGGGGGTTAAGGTGGAGACCCAGAATAACCTGGGGATTATGCCAATAAAAGTGGAGAATGGAGGTATTCTCCAGCCGCCGGGTTTTACATGTAGGGATAACCTTGTGTTCATGTTTATGCTCACTTTTAAAATTGGCTATTCCCTAAATAAACAATGTCAACGGAACCCACAGTTTTTCTCAACGTTGAATATAATGTCACAGTGAGAATTCTGATGATGAATAATCAATGAAATAAAAAAATTGAATAAATTTTAATGAAAAGAGATGAAAGACATTGTGTTACTTAGAAATTATTATTAGTTGACCGGAAATTAACAGATAATTGTTGCTTTAGGTGTTAATGCAATAAAAGCTGGAAAGTATACACAGGAAGGACTGAAAAATGAAGAAGAGACTGAGGACAAAGATAAACAGTCAGATAAACAGTCAGAAGATAACAAAGAGATAACGTCAGAGGCTAGTAAAGGGTAAGTAATTATAATGACAAACAACGTAATAGAAAAATGGGATTTCAGAATATTTACTCTTTTAAAGATTAAACCATTGCTCAGACAATGTTCACATGAAGTCAATATATCTATGGATCAACCTCATGGAAGGGCAACATTTGTATTATAATATAAGCACAGTAGCAGCTAAAATGTGTAAAAAAAAAATCCTGCTTACAGCCAACAGAGTAAAGTAACTTGGTATATACTGTAAATGTTACTGTATTATATTTAGCGTGTACGATATTTGGCAGAAATTGATTTTTGAACACGTTAGCGTAGATTTGATTTAGCGCATTTCTCAGTGTTCCTATTTATGTGTAAGTGTGCAAGACATTTAGCGTTGTACTTGAATTAGCAGCAGATTCACTCTGCCAAAAGCGCTAAAAAGAATACACAGCCAAATGTAATACGTTTACAGTAGCTGGAATATTCTAATCACCTTACCTCAATTACTTGGTACTATGTTAAGATATGTAATATAAAAAAATCTTCCTCTACAAACCTTTCTAAATATAATTTATTTAACATATATATCCAATAAATCCATATTCTCTTGATTTAACATTTTTTCTCACCTTTTTCTGTCCATTTCAATGCATCCATGAAGCCAATGAGAGCATCAACTGATTTTAATGATTTGTTGAGATGTTTGACATTCTATCACAGCAGTGGTCTGTTTGAGGAGGAGGAGGAAGAGGAGGAAGAAGACTTATTTAATGATGAGGAAGACACAGAGGTCATCCCTGAGATAACAACAAGAGGAGGGCAGGGTAAGTGTTCACATGACTTATTTAATGATGAGGAAGACACAGAGGACAGGGTAGTAAGTGTTCACATGTCTTATTTAATGATGAGGAAGACACAGAGGTCATCCCTGAGATAGCAACAAGAGGAGGACAGGTTAAGTGTTCACGTGAATTATTTAATGATGAGGAAGACACAGAGGTCATCCCTGAGATAACAACAAGAGGAGGACAGGGTAGTAAGTGTTCACATGTCTTATTTAATGATGAAGAAGACACAGAAGTCATCCCTGAGATAACAACACGAGGAGGACAGGGTAAGTGTTCACATGTCTTATTTAATGATGAAGAAGACACAGAAGTCATCCCTGAGATAACAAAAAGAGGAGGACAGGGTAGTAAGTGTTCACATGTCTTATTTAATGATGAGGAAGACAAGCTGTTATCCCTGAGATAACAACAGGAGGAGGAAAGGGGAAATATCAAAATGTCTTTTTGGGATACAGAAGATTTTTTCACTTTGTGAGTATAAAGAGTATTTGTATTAAGGGGATTTTCATGTTGCAGTTTTAAATCCAATTGTTTTTAGGTGGACAGTTGTGTATTTATTACTAAAAAACCTATTCACTTATAATTTTGATCTGCTTTTTAAAATCACATGAAATATTAGGAAGGTTTAGATTGTGATGTCACATGACATAATGTAAATTACTTGCATTTTATAATTATGTCTGAACATAGTGAATATTTAACCATAAATATAATCCATTATTTCAATCTGCAATATTTATAACATGTAAGTCATTTTTACATGCACTAATGCTATGGCCATTTGTGCGGTGTGCGGTGTGTGTAAACTTTTTAGAATATGGGCCATAACTCAAGAACCCCTTGGCCAATCAAAACCAAATTTGTCACAGGATATCCTTGGCCCAAGGGCTACCATTTGTACTAAAATAAGGGTTGAGACCCTTAAACAAGGGGAGATAATCAGGAAAACAAAACCAAAAGTACTGGATGCTAAAAAATCTTCTTCTCCATAACCACTAGGCAGATTTTCACCAAACTTACATACAAGGATCAGGATATGTCGAAGATTAAAATTTGCACGGGGAATTACCCTGGGGCAAAGGGCGTGGTCTCAAGGTCACTTCAAAGTTGACCTAAATTTACAATTAATAAAAACGTGTATATTTTGCTTATTATAAGGACTAGGATCATTAAATCTTATAAGTTGATGCATCTTACGACTTCACATCATGTTGACTCAAAAGTAGGTCACGGTGACCTACTTTTTAAATTTTGCGGGGATTTGTTTTCAAATTAATTTGAAGGCATATTTTGGACACTTTAAGGCCTATGATCATCAAACTTTGTCAGTTGATGCATCTTGGGTCCTCAAACAATTTCAACTTAAAAGTAGGTCACCGTGACCTACTTTTTGAACTTTATGACTTATCTTTTTAAAAACATTAAATCCCATTATTTCAGACACTTGGAGGTTTAGAATCATCAAATCTTGTACTTGGATGCATCTTGGGACCTTAAAACATATTTATGAAAAAGTAGGTCACTGTGACCTACTTTTTGAATTTTGCCGACATTTGTTTTCAAATTGTTTAAAACACATATTTTGATTACCTTCAGACCTATGATCATCAAACTTGGTCAGTAGATGCATCTTGGGTCTTTGAAAAATATCGACTAAAATGTAGGTCATGACGACCTACTTTCAACATTTTATGGCTATATTTAAGTATCTTAGGTATTTATTTTCTTTGAATCATCAAACTTTGTGAGTCGATGCATATTTAGTTTTCGGAGAGTGACGACCAAAAAGTAGGTCACAGTGACCTACTTTTGACATTTTATGGCTTGATTCAAGTATCTCCTGTACTTATTGGCTTAGAATCATCAAACTTTGTGAGTTGATGCATCTTGGGTTTTCGGAGAGGCTGACCTAAAAGTAGGTCATAGTGACCTACTTTTGACATTTTGTGCCTATAATTAAGTATCTCTGGTATTTATTGACCTAAAATCATCAAACTTTGTCAGTTGATGCATCTTTGGTTTTCGGAGAATGTCGATCAAAAGGTAGGTCACAGTGACCTACTTTTGAAGATCTCAGGTGCGTATTAGCTTAGAATCATCAAATTTTGTCAGCTTAGGCATCTTGGGTTTTTGGATAACGTCGACCAAAAAGTAGGTCACCGTGACCTACTTTTGACATTTGATGGCTATATTTAATTATCTTTGGTACTAATTGGCTTAGAATCTTCAAACTTTGTCAGATGATGCATCTTGGGTTTTCAGAGAATGTTGACCAAAAAGTAGTTCATGGTGACCTACTTTGGAATATTTTTCAATCAAAAGGTAGGTCACTGTGACCTACTTAGGGTATCTTATAATTATATTATAATATCTGCAGTCTTAACTGGCTAAATATTATCAAACTTTGTAAGTTGATGTATTTTGGGTCTTATGATACTAATAGAGTTGGTGGCTTCTAATAGAAGTGATAGATTGAATGTACAATTTATCAGAAGAGTGATTCAAGGCCCTTGGGCCTCTTGTTTTCCTTTTTTGAGTGAACATTTGTTGTCAAAGCCAATTACCTAGTGGTGAGAAAAAATTTGTAAAGGATATATGGGTGAGAGGTTACTGTGGAAGTGAAAATTTCATCAATTCATCAAGGCATTGTCAAGATAGCTCACTGCACTAATAAAGTTAAAGATAACAAGATCAAGATGACTCTTACAAGTTTTTTTTCTTCAATTTTGTTGGCTTCTGTTTTCTTTTTATGACCCATAATCAAAGACTTAGAGGTACATGTATATAGTTTTTGTCCTGTCCATCTATCTGTCTGATTATTTGTTTGTCTGTTTGTTCACAAAAACTTTAATCTACCTTGTCCATACATTTTAGTGGGTGTGACAATGGCATTCATATTTTCCTTGTATATGTATTCCTTGTGACAAGACCTTTCTTTTTTCACCACCAAATTTGACCTTTTACCTTGGAGTTTGACCCACTTTTACCAAAAATTACTACAGTTTTACCTTGGTCAACACTTTTGAACAGTTGCTTCTAGGACTTTCATACTTCACAAGTGTATTGATTGTTACAATACCTTTCAATGAGTGTAAATATTTTTTGACACCTTGACCTTACAGTTTGACCCACTCTTAAAAAAAACTCTAACCTTGACCATTACTTTTGAACAGTTATCACAAGGGCTTTCATTTTTCACAGGTGTATTCTATATGATAAGACCTTCCTTTGGATGCCAACAATTTTGACTTTTTGACCTTGACCTTTGGAGTTTGACTTGCATCTGAAAAAGTTCAACCTTCGCCATTTGCTACCATATCGCGGTATCAGTGTTTCACAAACATGCTCTTTTAAAAATGAGAGTTACTAACCTGAAGATAATGTGGCTAGGTTTCTAAGGACAGAATATTTTTTATCATAGAGTTTTTAAAAAGTTTTTTGTCAAAAACATTAGGTCTACAATTAAGGGAGGAAGAAGGGTTTGGTTATATGAAACTTGTGGCTGTTATTTGGTTAAGAAGTCAAATTTTAACAAATTACCATCAATTTGGGACTGAAAAGGCATTTTGTCTGTCCATCTGTTATATTGCTATTGTCTGTTTATAACACTAGTCTTTTGTTTCCAATTAATATCTCAAAAAGCTTCTGGACTGTTTTTAATGAAATAAATCAGCTTTCTATAATGAAAGAAGACTCAATTTTAAGGTCAGGTTTAGATATTTATATATTTTGTGTGTGTGATTATCTAGTAGATGCAATATTACACAAAATCTTGCTTTTGTAATGAAATTTAAATATCACAACAGTTACTCCTAATAGCCTAAAGATAAACTCTGACTTTAAAGGAAAAAAATCAAAGTAATTAAAGTTAAAAAATTCATATATTTTACAATACCTGGATTGGTACATATTTTTTTTGATACATTTTTAAAGATTAAATGTCATACTAATTAACATTTATTACCTGTAAAATTTCATACATTTTACAACACCTGAATTGGTACATTGTTGTTTGGATACATTTTTTTTAGATTTAACGTCGTATTAACATTTATTTCATGTATTTTTTGTCAAACTCAAATGTCATTCGACAAAAAGTAGCATTTAACTGACTCTAAATTTTACTTATTCAAGAATTGTGAAGACTAAGTTAAGGCACATTTTTAAAAAAAGATAAACTAAAAAAGTATTAAATTAAGTTGCTGTAAATTTATTGCCAATATCAACCGATATTGATCGGTTAAAAGATAAAATGATTAGTTGGATTACATCTTTCACGCCTATAAACAGTGTCAATATTAACCATGCAAAGATTACATGTAAGATATTTTTTTAACAATTTGACCAGATTCAGATACAAAGCTCTTTGACTATCCTGTTCTTGGCGGGAATTTAGAGGATGACGAAAAAATGTTCTTGGTGTCCGACAACAAAGAACCAACAGAACCAAGCTCGGCAGCTCTTCAGCAAGAAGAGGATAATTCAGACCTTCTGACGTATGTATTTTATATTGTTTTAAGTTGATACTACCACCACATACATGTTTATTTCAGAGCTGAATAAAGGTTTTAAAAGCTGTACAAATGCACGACTCGTCACGAGCTTGGGAATGTATTTGTACAGGCAACTTGTGCCAATAATATTCACAAATAAAAATTCAACAACTCCTTTATTATATAGCTAAAACATTTCCTCATAATTTATAATAATTTAATCATTAATTATTCTAACTAAAAAAAATCAGACTTTTTGAAGTAACGGCATTTTATATCATTCCAACGACCCTACCGAGCGTTATGACTTGCTTATTTAGGATTTAGTGGCAATAATATCAATCTGATTAAAATCAGATCTTTGTTACGCTCCGAAATTCTGATGGTCGCTGTAAAATCAGATCTTTGTTACGCTTCGAAACTCTGATGGTCGCTGTTTGTACAGAATTTGGGAGCGTAACAAAGATCTAATTTTAATCAGATTGCAATAATATGTACTAAATTTTTAATAAATAGGGCCTAATTTAATTTTTGTGTGAAAATAAAGACATCTTACCTCGTTACCACTTCTTTTCTTTAATTTACTTTTGAGAGAATGACCAGACGACATTTTTTGTTTACAATGGGGCGTTCGATTTTGAACGCTTGTGTTCGGAATGTTTCGGACATACTCATATACGTAATACAAACTCAAGCGTTCAATATAACACCAAGAAAATTTTCTAAATTTTTAGTAGCTTTTTAATAGAGTTTTTTTTTAGCTATATAATAAATGAAGTTACATGTACAATGTATATTTTACAGTGTTGAAGATGACTTGGATGAACTTTTTGTTAGTCAACCCAAACCAAAGATTGAAAGTGACGAAAAAGCAAAAATCAATCAAACCCAACCCAAACCGTTACTTAAACCTAAACCAGGACCGGCAAATACATTGTCGGAGAGCCAAAAACCTATACTACGTCCTAAACCTAAGGTTGGATTAAAACCAGAACTTAAACCAAAGCCAGTATCAAAACAGTCACCCGTGATTCCATCCCAAAGCGAGGATACTTCCGGTATAAGTGACCTAGATACAGATGATATTATGAAGTATATTCAAAGTGCCGGAGAGACGCAAGAGGACGTGGACTTGTTTTCCTGATTAAATCTGCGCTCGGTTTAGTTTCTTCCGTAAATTGTTTCCGTTATTTAAAAAAATATATGTGCCATAACTTGTTAAATCACCACATACATTGTATACATGTAACGATTGACACAGTCTTCCGTGTTTCATTTGATCATAAGAAATAAACATGTCACCCATATTTTGTTATATTTTTAATTAAAATCAAGTTCTTTTTCGTTTTTCCAAAATATGAATAAATTTAATTGTTGATGTTTTAAATTATCTTGCACTCACATCAAGTATCTGACACAGAAAATCTGATTATACGCAGAGAAATTGGAACCAAACATGGTATTTATATATACTAGTATTATTTATGTACACTTTAACTACACAATTGTATGTTTCAACTGCAGGTAAAACTAGAAAATTGTGAAGATTTAATTTATTGAGACTTGCAATGAGTAAAAGATTAATATATATTAATTAAGTTATTTCATTTCGCATACGCTTAATTGTTTGTTACATAGACTGTGGGGTGGTGCAATTCTTACAAAAATTAATGGCACTAGTAAAACCATCAAAAGTTGAAATGAGCGTTAGGTACATGCATTAATAAAAAAGGATATATTTTATCTTTCGTTGTGAGTATACCAAACTACTAAAGGCTAATTCTAATTTATTGGATTACTATACATTAGCATTTAATTAGCTTGCTATACCTCAGCTATCTGTGCATTAAAAAATTAAAGGTTTTGAAAATTCAATGAAATTATTAAAAATTTAAACTACTATTTTGCACACCTACAACAACATATTTTTCGAAGTTCTTTACGAAGTGCCCGATCAAAGAGTCCATAAAAGAAAGGATTGCTTATATTGTTTACAAGGTAAAACCGATACAGGAACAAATAAAAAGCTATTTCCTGATCCGTTAGATTAGACCAAAACTGGTCATCTAAAGACTCTAAAACATTTAAAGTTATCCTTGGAATAAAGGATAACACAAAAACCACGGCTATCAACATGAACATCCAGGAACACCGATGAGTTCCAAAATGTTTCCGTACAGTTGGTATAGCTGACTTGAAAGCCTTTTTCTGTATTTCTGTAAAACTACTTCGGATCTTTTCGGTTGTAGTCATTGGAACACTGAGAAATGTAGAATTTTGAAAAGGGCTTGATTCCTCATTTACTGGGGTAACTGGTGACGAGGGTGCCTCAGACAGGGAATCAAGAAAAGGAGAATCGAAATCGAGGCTGTCTCTTTGTGGCTTCTTTCTAGTCGGGACTCCTCCGCTGTCTGATGGTGGATTCCATTCCATTGAATCTCGGTTGCTGCGTTTAGCAGCGGACGTTGCGGAGCTAATTCTTCGTCTGTATTTATGCTGTCTGTAGATTGTACGTCCTATCAGGATGTAGAGAACACTGATTGCGATAAGTCCGCCGACAACAATCACAAATAATACTGTGTTATACAAAAATAGAGCGGTTCTGTCAGAATCTGGTCTTGCACCACATCGGTATCCTTCCAAATTTAGCTGACGATTTTCTATCGTAATTTCTCCATAGAACATAAAGCAAGGCAATGATAAGATAATGGAAAGGAGAATAATTGATATCAATGCGAAATGTTTGGTCTTTATTGTCATTTGTTTCTTGAATGGTCTCACGACTTTCAAAAAGCGCTGTACTGCAATGACGAGCAACATAAATGCTGCACACATTGTAGTAGCTTGAGATGCAAACCACAAAATTTTACAAAGTTCATCTCCTTTGAATCTCAGTGGAATTATGTTTAAAGTCATGGCATATCCCACCCCTACAACACATGCAGACAAATCCATCACAGCTAGATGGGGTATAAAGTATCTGTCATCTCGAGGCCCCTTCATTCGGAAGTTATACACATAAATCACAACAGAGTTCCCTAGCACACCGATCAGAAGATAGAACCCCAGAATCACCGTGTTGACTGTTAAAACCTTTGACTTTTCGGCATTCCAGTCCTCGAGTGTATACAGTTGAGTGTTGTTCATGTTGTACAACAAGCCCGGATAACTACTGTGCTTGTTTTTTATCCATGTTATTAAGTGTTCTGGTTATGAATGTGCAAGGTTGACGTTCTCCGGCGCTGTAAAGTTATTTTCCGGAGAACTCGGAAATGCGAGAACAAGTCGAACCGTATAGTGATAATCTAGCCACGCTGTCACATAAAAGCACGAATAAGGACGTTTAAGTAGTGGTATCCTTTTGATTGAAAATATAATATAATGACCAATATAAGATCCTTTTTTGGTCATTTGTTGTTTGTTCTGCTTTAATATACCGTGATATTCTTGTATAATTGCTCTTTTCCTCGCTTGTTCGAATGCACTTAAAAAACGTAAAATGAAAAGAAAATAAGATTTGCTATCAAGCATATTTTTATACTTCAGTTTGCTTTTATAATAGATACTTAAATTTCTATCCCTTGTTTGCAAAAAAAAAAAAAAAAAAAAAAAAAAACTTCACGGCATGATTTAATCAAAAATTATGAAATTGTAACAAGTTAAAATGACGAAGATCTAGAGGAAAAGAAACTTCGAATTTTCAAATATTAATTGCGAAGAATAAAGATAAGTTTATCACACACTCATCCCAAACATATTGCTCTAAAGCTCTTATTAAACATGCATTTTTCATATTCGCGAGGTGGCACACGTTAGACCTTTCTTACTCTCTGATCTTACCAGTGGTTAGTTTATTTTGAGCAATTGCCAACAGAATTTAGTCAGTGATTAACTGGCCAATATTTATGAAAACTGACCAGCGGTTACCTCGGAAAACGGTATACAGTGTATATAAATGTTATTTGAGCGACCCGGTCAAAATCTGTATTCCCTTTTGACGTGCACTCATGTATTCGATCGATATAGTGTATACGTCGTCTTCCTTGCCCTTTAACATGGAAGTAGGAAGTGTAATCAAAAAGTTCACAAACTATTTGAATCGTTTCTATAAAAAAATCAAGTCTTGTTTCAGTGTTCTTTTTTTAAGCAGGTCCCTCTTATGTGCACACCACTGTTCTGGCTACATGCACAGAAACACGCATGGTTCAAGTGTTAACAGTACGTGACAAGCTTCTTAGCTTACTGTAAACAGTGGTCCAACAATTTTCAGGAGTCTTACATCCCTTACCATGCAGGAATAGCCTATTTTGTCAAAAATTTCTTTCCAAATCTCACAAAAAGGATAGGTTGATTAGGAATTAATTTCCTGATGTGCATGAACCCCAGATGTCCATCTAAACCTGTCTCAATTGCAACTACTGTCTTGGGTGTGTCGTGTATTCACTGAAGACCAAGTATGAGCGAATTCTATTACCTACTTACTTAGTCCTCTTCGTGCTTTGTGCACATATATGTAAGGCCTGAACACTTCCTACATCAGCCTCTCTCAATGCTCTAACATCCTGCAATGTTCCTATCCTCCTTTATTCATCAATACATGGTCAAGTTGGTTCTGTGTGTGATCATCTGGTGAAGTCCATGTTAGTTTATGGATGTTCTTGTGCTGGAGGATGGTGCTACCAACAACAAACTTATTTTCTAGGCAAAAAATCTACTAGTCTACTACCATTGCTGTTTATCTTACAAAAGCCATGTTTCCCCATTATGGGTTCTTTTCCTTCATTGTTGGTACCAACTTTTGCATTAAGATCACCAAGTATGACGAGTCCATCATGAGCCGGTGTATCCTCCACAGCTCTCTGCAGTTCTTCATAAAAAAGAATCCTTTTCCTCTCCTTCTTTGTCTTCTGCAGGCGAGTAGTAGACTACAACCGTCAGTTTAGCATACAGTATTTTGAATAGAATCCTGCAGAAAGAAGTCTGTCATTGTACGGTTTCCAACCTAACATGCACTTCCCAAGTATAGTATCAGATGACCAGTGAATTCTTATATCCTATCAGATTTGTAAACAGTCTAAAATGAATGATCTTTTTAATGTGAAATTTTTGTGGATAAAGAACAGTATTAGAGCTCGAAAGTCCATCCAAACAACACAAATTAGGTGCAGAGTAAATAAGGACCTTTGAAATATCAGAAGTAGGATCAGATGGCATGGAGGTGTGAGCATCCTATGCAGACTGGTCACATATGACTTGTGCTCTTTGTCATGATCGGAGACTCACGGAAAAAATATGGAGACAATTTAGTGTGTTAATAAAAAAGGCCTAACAAAATGCAGTATGAAAAACTTCAGTTAGCATTTGATATAAACGCTAATTGTTTCAACTAACAAGATCAATGTATCGACCACAAAAACGATTACTTTGAACGAGACTGTTGATATTCTTGACGTCTTTGTCAATTACTAACCTCCTTTTAGAAATTAAAGGTTAATACGTAGAGCATGTTCTTCCGTATCGTATCATCTGTACCAAGAGTAAACCAAGACTAGAGTAAAATTGCCAAATAAATAAAGAAAGTTTGCAATTAAAATGATAAGCAAGTGTTTTCTTCTTCTCATGCACAAGATTCTGAATAAATTCTGCTTCATATGAATACACAAATAGGTCTGTTAATAACGGACTGCAATTGGTACACATAAGAATTCCAATACCGGTAGATTGTTGAAGGACCTAGTCTTGACTACCAAACCCACATATATATCAATTTGTCAATTAAAAATTCAAGCCTCTTTAATTACACTGCATCAACTTCAGAATGTTTCAATAAGATATAATTATTATAATAAATTGTGACAAGCACCAGGAAGGAAGGGGGAAGTGTGCCTTGTGTAAAGGCAAATAAAGGTCTCCAAAAAATAATGATAAAGGGTCATTTTTGTTATTAAAAAACGCCCATTGATCGCCTTTGTTAGTAGGGAAAAGGGTCTCGAGTGTATAAAACTCAGCAAAAAATCTTACGGATCTATGTAAAGAAAAATGACTTGAATTCGAAGTATAATAAATACCCTTTTAGATTTTGCTCAGGATTTGCTTTTTGGTATGGCTAATGGAAGATAACTCCAAATTTTTTGTCATTTAAAAGGTGATATGACAAATAGTAGTCAACGTCATAAATCCAGGCAACAAAAGAAATCATGGACAGGGATAGGACCAGCTACCTAGCTATACAGCACCTCCTGTCGACAGCTCACATCCGCCACCGTGAGCTTATTGTTGGATCAAGTGAAAATGGACAACGGAACACTCGTAAGTCAAAAGTATGGTAACCTAGCAATAAAACTTTATTTCCTTACTTATGTTGCATTATACCCTTATCGTTTGCATGTACTGTTTATGTCTCCCAGTTGATTCGATACACAAGAGCATGCTCTACATACGATCATTTTTTAAAACGTTGTAAGAAATAAACTAAAAGTTAAAGAAACAATGATATCAACAGTCTCCTTTACAGTCATTATTTCGCTACGATTGATACAATGACTATCAGCAATATTATTACAATCTATCATTAGGTCATTAAGTCAAATGCTGACTGATGTTTGGCCATTATTTACACACAGATATTTCCAGATTTTTCAATTGCCCTGTCAGCTAGGACAAGAAGCACACAGCGGGTGTGACCAGTCGGCAGGGGATGCTTACTCTTCCATGGTATCTGATCCCGTCTCTGATTTTTGGAGATCCGTGTTTGTATTGTTTAAATGAACTTTGAGCTTAAACACTCTTCATTGTCAATTCTTTTATTCTTTTATTCCAGACCTTGTATCAACAGATACATCAGATTAACATATTAATTGCATACAATATACATGTACATAATTGCCATGTAAACATATATTCCAATGTATTTACACAAGCATTGATAAATGTACATATCTATACATACATATTATTGTAATACATGTATCATAATAGTAAATCAATATTACTCATTATTATGATAAATTTATTTTACTTTCTCTAAATGACACGCTTCTCTTAAAAAATTCCCCAGACCTCTTAATTCCCTTACATTTTTTTTTTACTGAACATTATTTTATCAACTGCCCATCGTATAATGTTGAAAGAAACATATTGGTAAAAAAATTAAATGATATTGATGTTGTTTTTGAATTCCACGCTCTACTAAGAGGAAAATCTCAATACTCTTATCAAACAAATTGTAAAATATTTTCATATGTACAAGAATTTATTAAATCTTCTAAAAGACTAAATTAGGGACACTGTTATATTAAATATTCTATTAAATGCATAATTTTTTTTTCAAATATTTGTATTATTTTTAAGCTGGAACAGTATGTAAATAATATGCATACAGTTAGGGGGTTGTCATTTTTTTGAGATAGAATATTGATAAATAATACTTGATTGTGAATCTTTATTTTTCATTATAATTTTATTGATTATCATGTTCATGTATTATTTCCTACTAATTTGTATCTTGACCAATTATACAAGGAGAGGGTGTACATAGGCATTGCCTGTTGCCCAATCCTGATTGAATTATACTCAATAAAATATGTTTAAAGTAAAGTAATTCCCTTACATTTTGAATACTTGATAAGAATATTTTTTAATATATTTCTTCCTTAAATTTTCATATGTTGGACATTGTAAAATGAAATGAAATTCATCTTCTACTTCATTTAAACTACACAATATGCATTTTCTGTCGTTTCTATTGGTATTTGTGAATCTACCCCTTGCAATGTATAAGTTGTGATCAGACATCCTAAACTTTGAAATTATTTCTCGATTTTTAACACTTAAAGGTTTGTTAAGGTAATATTGAAGACAATGTGTATCTGTCAGATATTTGTACAAATTAGCTTTTGGCATATTGTCGATTTCTGCTCTTAATTCTTGGATGTAAATATCTTTCATTCTCTGTTCAATAAGTTTAATAACATATTTATCATCATAATTTGTATGCATCAAGGAATTTAATCCTATTCTATCCAGTTCTGTTTTAATATTTACAATCCATTCGTCATTTTCCTCTACCATTTCTTCAAAACACGTCTTCAGGATACAATTTTCTGTTTTTCTTAACTTTAACCAATATTTCATAATTTTTTTATTTTCCTTAAAATATGACATGGAAATCTACCAAGTTCATGATAAACAAGCTTGTTTACTAGCATTCTTTTTTAACCCTAAAATTTTTTACAGAACATTATATATGGACTTTTTCGATATCAATTCCTTTGTTAAAACCCCATACTTCCGAAGCATACAAAAGTATACTATTAACATAGGTGTCGAACACAGAGCATTTTGTTTGAACATTAAAATAGTAATCATTTAGTTTACTTTGAATACTAAAA